TTTATCCCTGATGTAAATCAAGTATCTCATATGTTCAATTGGTTGCAAAAATCATACAGAAGAGCTGCCGGTTTTTGCTCTACACGATGATAGAGTCGTAGAGATAGTAGGGGAGCTTGGAAGCACTCGTAAAGCGATCGAGTTAATTGCTTGTCATTTGAGAAAATTTTTAGTCGATCGTAGCATAATACCAGTAATTGAAATGCAGGTTGGTCTTACCCAAAAATAAAAAAAAAAAGCTTGCAGATTCATTTCCGATTGGAATATTTAATTTTTCGACCGGAACTTACCTTATTCTGCTTTTCTTTTTAGATGCAAACGCCTAATTCTCATATGGAAAACGTGCCTCCTCCTCCCCAGCATTGGGGTCCGCCACCTCCTCAATCTTTTCCACCGAATCCACACACAGTTGGTGGATTTGGAGCTAATTCACACTTTATGCCTCCTCCTAGACAGTTTGATAATTACTTTCCCCATGAAAATCAACCTCATGAGGGGATATCTGCCTATGGTAGGGAAACTCCGGTTCCAGTTCATACCTCATCTAATCAAACAGCTTCAGCAGTAATCACTCAGGTTATATTTTGCTGTTCGAAAACTTTAGTTTAATTTCCTTGTTTATATAATGGTCAATTTTGCTGTTTATTTGGAAATTGTGTGTTTGGTCCTTTTCCAAATTTTAATCGACCCAGATTTTCTACAATTTGAATTCAGCCCGGAAAACAATTTGACCTTTACACAGAGTTGTCTAGAAGTTTTACTGAACAAATTTTATATTAATGCTAGTCGACATATTTGCAGATCACGCAGCAAATGCAAGTTCCATTATCTTACGCGGATGCTGTGATCGGTACACAAGGAGCAAATATAAGCTACATTCGACGAGTTAGTGGTGCTACAATTACCATTCAAGAGACTAAGGGAGTTCCTAGTGAGATGACGGTTGAGATTATCGGAACTTCTTCTCAAGCCCAAACTGCTCAGCAGTTGATTCAGGTGAGAGACTTACTGTCGATTCTTTTAGCTAAAATTTTTCCTTATTTTCATTTATTTATTTATTTTTATTCGTTGTTGAAATTGCAAACTTCGTATAATGTTAGTTTGATAAGTTTCTAAGTATCGAATTTGTTCTGCAGAATTTCATGGCAGAAGCTGCTGCAGCTGGCACAGCTCAAGCACAGCAAGCCACATCAGCGGATCAAATGTATAATAATAATTCTTATGCAGTTCATGGCTCGGTTTACTCGTCCCAGCCTCCAAATCCGAGTCTTTCTGGACAAACAGGAGCTGGTGCTTATGGCTCGGTTTATGGTTCCAACTATGGATATTGACTTGGTATTTCCTTTTTTTTTTTTTTT